ATACTGATGACTGTGGGAATAAATGTCATCATCTGTAGGTAATTTTTATGTTTACAAAACCTTAAGTATTGGTTTTCAGCACATAAAGATACAATATTACGTATGTTTTAGAAACAGTATTTAAACCTATGATATTATATTGGTATAAAAGTGCTATTAAAACCTTGAAAACACTGAAATTCAACAATCAAAGTAGACTGCTCTGTGGGTTGGCAAAGCATTTTATTTCATCACCCTGATAGGGCAAAGTTACTTTAGATATTAAGCCATTCCTATGTGTGGAGAATATATGGGACACTGGAAAGGTATTTGATAGCAATCATATTTGTGTACATTGCGTGGGAGGAAAATGGGGCAGATATTTTAACTATAGAGGAATAAAAATAAAATTATCAGTGAAATTTTATTTTCATGGTACTTTATAACTTAGAACAATACTATCAAATTGCTAAAGCTATGTTTGAAATACAGCATTATTAGTAATAACTGTTCGAGTTTTAGTTATTCAGAACTCCCAGCGATTGTGGGCATGTCACTTGAATTTTCTTCTGTGATCTGATTTCACCAAGAGACCCTAACAAAACACAGTGTTGAGGTTTCTTGATTTTTGCACTGAGATCTACAGCCCTTAAATTAATGTTCCATTCTCAATCCCACTAATTTCAGTGACCATATAAGTTGGTATGTTGGAGCTTATATTAATGCATCCCAATAGAGGATTGAGACTTGTTTTGCACAGCTGGGAGTATATTACATTATTACACTCTAACAGCACTGTAACATGATTTGCTTTCAAAGGAGCATCACTAAGCAGAAACTGCATGGTCAATGTTCAGTGTATTTGTACACATTGTATAAATGTGTATGTTCCCATTCCTGCATGTGTCTGTTTTTACTTAAGATAATTTTACAAACCCATATTACACAGTTGTGTTGTATGCCAGTGGGAGCCAGAACTTTGGTATGATGATGTATGAACTTTTCTGGTTGATTTATATAGCGTCCAGGTACATGCTAGGCGCTTTACAGATATGAGAAGGATCCAATTCAAAATAATTTAGTTGGTGGCCCAGGTCTTTCAATCACTGTTGCCTTCAGTACCAAGTAAGAACAGTAATTTGATCACAGGCACAACTTGCTGGATTAGAGCCTGAGCAAATACATTATGCAGACAAAAGGCTTAGAGGTATGAGGTAAAAGGATGTTTAAAAAAATTGCCAGTCCTTTTACACTTTCTAATTTATTGGCTTAGCTTTGTTTCTTTATTTGGATTGGGTTTTTGTAGTGCTTTTTCTGTTCTATTTAAGAAATGCTTACATAAACTGTTTTAAGCTGTTGCTTTGTCTGTTTTATTGATGCTAAGAATTTAGACTTCGTAGTTGTTTGACCGGTTCCTTCATGTAGAAATTTACAGTTGAGTATAACTGGTTATTCTGGCTAGAAGAGGGGAGAAATTCTTTTGAATGTGCTACTGTGCTCATGTTGCTTTTGTTGTTACTGGTTGAGTCTTTCTCTTGGGGGTCAAGAAACTTGACTTGTCAGCCACTGAAGCATGACTGGAGCCTGGCATCCATGACAGGTATTTTTCCTGTTGGAGGGAGGTGGGTGGAGCTTCTGAATTTCTGAATCTGGAGAAGAAACTTGGTGGGCCAGCGATCAATGATAGATTTGTGGGTATTTTTTGGTACGTAACTTAATTTAATTGCAGATTGTTGCACAATTTACTATACACAGGTAGTCTCTGGATCTTGTAAGTTTGTGTGAAGCATTTACACTAGGTAAACATTTTTTTTATAGGAAGCACACAAAATGGTTAAAGAAGCTAATGTTAAACAGGCTGCAGCAGAAAAACAGCTGAAAGAAGCACAGGGAAAGGTGAGTTTTTTTCCGGCTTGCTTGCTTTGTCTTTTCACATGGTTATAAATTTGAAGTGTGAATCATAAAGATGAAAGTAAAGCATTACCTGTATGCATTATTTAAGAATATACTAAGTTGTTTTATGTTGCCTTGACATATTTTTAGCTAACACCTGTGGGCACAGAGCTGGTGTTTCAGCATCATACCAGATAGCTGGCAAGGTGCATAAGAGGCCAGTGTCTGTACAGTATGTATTTGCATAGGCATCTGTGTGTTAATACTGTTGGAAGATTGTTTTTATTTGAACCAAGATAACTGGAATTAAAACAAAAATATATTTGGCATATTAATAGCCTAATAGGATACTTTTTCTTGTTAATTTTTTACTTCTTTATTTCCACCCCAAGATTGATGTCCTCCAGGCTGAAGTAGCAGCATTGAAAACACTAGTACTGTCTACTTCACCAACATCTCCAACTAGGGATTTTCAGTCTTCTGGGAAAACTCCTTTTAAGAAAGGCCATGCAAGGAACAAGAGTACAAGCAGTGCTATGGGTGGCAGTCATCAGGACCTTACCATGATGCAACCAATTGTAAAAGACTGTAAAGAGGTAACAGTACAAGGAGTGTCCTCTTTCTGCTGATAAGATGGCTTTATTGTTTTGTTTTACTCACAGTAAATCTAGTATACATTAAATCTTCATGTAGTATTGACGATTTTAGAGATTTTTCATTAATGAAAGAATTTTTTTGTACATATCAATGCGTGGTGGTTTTTCAAAGTCTTGTATACCTTTAAATAATTAAGGAAAGATTAGATTTGAAACACTGGAATAAATAATTTAAAGGTGGAAATTCACAGAGAAAGAAGAAAAATACATTATAACTGAATGTTAAGTTCTGATGGCTTTTTACAAAGTGCAGCACCAAATGTTCACAAACTTTCAGAAACATTTCATAAACATTTCATAAACTGTCACAGAAAAGAGGAAGAGTCATTTTATAGATCAATAATGGGTGAAAGAGGCCAGGGAAAAGATGGAATTTATTTATTAAGACAACAAGAGGAGAATTACCACTGGCGTCCCAGAGGGCCTGTGATTTTTTCTTTTATGTACTCATGTAATTGAAAATGGGGAAATAATGAAGGTGACAGGTTGGTGCTGGAGCCCTTGGAATGGGAGTAGCAAAAAGTGACCAAAGAGTTGAGAAGGATTTTATAGATACTGAGTGGTTTCTAGAACAGCAGATGAAATTCAGAATCCATAAATGAGAAGCGAGGCATCAGGGAGAAAGTGCTGCTCTAGCACACGGGCAGTTGTTGACTTAGAAACAGTGACATTCTGCTGGAAAAAGAAGTGTAGTTATGGATCATTCTCTGCAAACATCATCTCAGTGCTCAGTGGTGGTCAGAGATGCACAAAGCCTTAGGAAAGGAATACGTAGGAGAAGAAAAAGCATTATCCTGCTGTATGAAAACATAGTAGATATGTGTGTGTATGCAATGAGCTATGGTATCTGCATTCCAGGAGAGGCATAAAGAAAATACAAAGAAGTGTAACATAGATCGTCAGACCTATGGAAGTATTTCTGTGTAGAGAGAGACACTTGAGACAGAATTAAAATCAATGCAACCACTAGTGACATGGGAAAGATGGATGGTGAACAAATATTAATGATTTCTTGTACTAAGAAAACTCTGGAAGCTAAAAGGAAAATTTTCAGTCAATTCATAATGAAACTTTACAGCTCATTGTCACAAGGTAACAAGATTAACAATGTAGGTGTGTTTAAAATGTAGTGTGCAAAGTGACAAAAGAATAGCCTGTCAAGGTATGTAGGAGATAAGTATGACATTCGGCTTAGCTACAGATGGATAGAAGTGGTGAGGCTGTTAAATGAAGATACATCAGTGTCTTACCTCTTGTGTTGCTCTGCAGCTGGTCATTGTCTGACAGGCTAACTGGATCTTTAATGTGATTCATTTAAATTGGCCATATGCCAGTCATCATTTAGTGCCTTTATACTACACACCTTCTCACTATAAATCTAGGAAAAAAAGGCATTTTCCACTTTCTGTTTTGTATTCAGGCTTCAAAAAACAACAACTTTGCAACCTGTCTGCCCACTTTCAGTGGCATCCAGGATGTTTTCCTTATTAAAATTGAATCCTTGTTGCCCTTCAGGAAAGGGGAGATCTGGGATGGAATTGCTTTGTAAGCATGACACTGAGGTCAAGACTCAAATTTGTAAGTGTCAGGCGAAAGTGAGAGAGGGAAGAAATCTCTTTTGCCTATATTTCTTCTGGTGAAAAAGCCATGAATTTGAAGGACATGCTGCAGAATGTTCCATCTGCCTGATGTTTTCCTTTAGTTCAGTCTCCTTTCTGTTCTGAGACACTTTGAGGCTTATTGAGGCTGCTGAAAACAGGTGGCTCTTTCTTCCATTGACAGACCAAGGAATTAGTAAGAAACACATGGATTTTCCACCCACTAGGGGTTCAGGGTTTCTATATTCTGAGCAGGAGTATTTAATGGAGTGTGCAACATGGAGCGAAGAAAGTAACGCTACCTCTGGCATGGTGGTTAGGACATTGTTTTAAGCATGGGAGACATGCCTTTCCTTACTGCTTTCATTATTCAGTGCATTGTAGTTTTGTTTACTGCTTTTGTTCTTTGTTGGTCTAAGGTAAATGTTTTTGCATTTCTGGGAGCTGGGTCTGAAACACTAGTTCTCCCCTTTTTTCACTAAATGTTCTTGTCACCGAGTTAAGTAACCCCTCTGCACGTCGTCCTTCTGATTTTGAGTGACTTATTTTCAGAAGACGGACTGAATACCCTTTTTCAGGGGTGCGTAGTGACCTTAAAGTGTGGGCAATATGGCTTTGTACTCCTAGTAAGAGTGCCATCCAGAGCTTTCCATGTCAAGATGTTGGATGCAGCTGGGTGTAATATGTGTCGACAGACAGGGTGAGTGGCTGTCTGTCTACTCTAAACATCAGTGGAACCAGAAAGGTGCCAGCATTCCATAGACATGCTTCCAAACAAGTGGGTGTAATCTCTAGGATAAGTAGACATGTCTAATTAATTCAGGTGTTTACAAGATTTAACCAGGCCAACCCAGGCTGCCTAGGTCTTGGGCAGGTAGCATCCACTCAGCATAAATGCTGATAAATGCATCAGTGTTCTTCAAAGAACTGAAATGTTTGATGTTGTAATTTACTGTAAAATGAAAACATTAAAAATTTAAATAGAATTATTATTACAGTTGGCTGTATATTTAATTGCAGGTAATAAAAACTTTGATCTACTGAAAGGGCAAGTGAAGGCAGGGAGGAGACACATGTAACAGTGTAGACTGGAAAAAATGAGTGTCAAGCTACATTCACTGAGCAGTTCTTTCATGGCAGCTTCTTTATAAATCGCAGGTTTGGGGGAAATGGAGTTAAACCTAGAAAATAACAGAGTTAATAAGAAATGCATCTTAATTTGTAGAAGCCTATACTACAAATAAAAAATAGCTTTTTTTCTGCTGTTGTTTCTTGATTGTATTAATTTTAAAGCCAGACCTGAGAAGGGTTTGAAGGTATGGGAAATGTTCCTTTAGGGAGCAAGTTACACCTATTGAATTTCATTTGTACAATGAGGTTGGTGGCTTAGCAACCAGAACATTTATGGACTGGATTAATTAAGATGGTTGTTCCTGATTGTACCTGAGTGTAAGGCAAGTAGCTCTAATGGAAAACAAATTTGCCAGTCTAATTATTGTAGGTTCTTTTTCAAGGAAAGAAAAACAAAATCAAAAGTGACAGAACTCCCCAAAATATATATGTAAGAGAATGGTGAAGTGCTGAGAGCTCAGAGGGGTTATGCATGGGAAAGGAACAAAAGACAAAGAGCTTGGTTCAAAGAACTGTACTGATCTTTTCAGTAGGATTAAAGATTTAACAGGATTAAAATTAAATTATTTTAGGTTTTAGTTTTCATTATTTTCCCTCTTTCATTATCTCATCTCTGTTTTTAATATTAAAAATTTTAAAATCACATTGTGGCTTACCTGTGGCCTGCAGTGTACATCCCTTCCTATTGCTTTAGGTTTTGGTTTTGGGAGTCTGCAACAGTACAAGGAAGGGGCTTAAAAAACAATTGGAGGGGTCAGGTGGTGGAGTCTGTGTCAGCAGAATGTCAAAACCAGTCTGAGGATGGTGTTACATATCCCATTGGGAACTGGCTTTAGTCTTGTTACTTTGGATTAGGAGTATGTGTCTGAACCAGTTGTCTCTACTCTGCTTGGTTCACGTCTCAGAGCAGCACTGGTGCCCATGAACAGGATCCTTCTCAAGTAACCCCAAACCAGATTATGTGCTCTGGGAGTACCTAAGTGTGCTCCAGCTGTTAGTGGGTAGCCAGCCCTTGGGACAGGCTGTCCCATAATGCAAACGTGGATTTTGGTAGTGACCTAGTACCAATCTCCTGAACGTGCATCTGGATACCTGCCTTTCCACTGCTATAAACTGATCTCAACGTGTAGATGACAAAATGACATGTTTTCAAATCAGATGGTTTTATCTCTTCCTAACACAGTGCATGCTTCCTCCTAGTGTGATTTAATGGGTTGGTTTAGTGTTTCTTCATTGACTATAGGAGCTATGGGGAAGCAGAATTAAGAATAGAGTATAAGAATAAGTATAAGAATAGAGTATAGAATATACTCATAGAATAAGAGTATAGTTTTACTTGATTTGCATATTGAATACCTGTTGTCCTGTGTTAGCATATTCAGTGTGTTAAATGTCTTATTTTAGTGTTACAATAGCAGTGTGTTATATTCAGATGGACACAGTGTCTAGGATTGCAGTCGTTTTCTTTAGATTTCTCAGCTTTCTGGAGCTCACAGAAATGGAGATGGAGTAAAATACTGTGGTGAATATGCATCAAGAAGAAATTTTGGTTTTTTTTCTTTTTTTCTGTTAGTTATCATTTTCAAAGCTATCCTGGAAACTTAAGAAATGGAGGAGAGGTAATTAGCCTGTCCCAGATGTTGTGGTGACCAGAGAATGAATTATCTGTGTCTTGAAAGTGATGTTTTGAGTTGTTTTTATTTGCAGTCTTAGAAAAGTGAATTTAAGAAAGTGTTCTTAGCTGTGGCACAACAACATTCTTTCACAGTGCAATGGAAAGCATTTTGTTTCAATTCTCATTATTTACCTGTGATATTTGCAAGTGATATACACTAGTGTGATAATTGCAGTACTAAAATATGTGAACTTTTGTGTTCTAGGCTGACCTATCTTTGTACAATGAATTCAGATCTTGGAAGGATGAGCCTACTATGGATAGAACATGTCCTTTCTTGGACAAAATTTATCGGGAAGATATTTTTCCATGTTTAACCTTCTCAAAAAGTGAGGTAATGGAAATTGTCTAAATGTGGTCAATGGCATTTTTCTCTTAAATATGTTACATGAAGCCAATAGGCTGTATCAAAAATGTTTTCATATGAAGTTTAACCGTTTTTGTTTCGTTTGAGTGTGACAGTTTACAGTGAAGTGCTGAAGTTAGTCTGGAGTGTTGAAATGATAATTTACTCTTCACCACTGTGATCTTTCAGATACGTTCTTTTTAGGTCTACTTCTTCAGCTGTTAGTCCTTTATGGCAGAATCTGATGTTTGTAGGAATGGATGGAGTTTTAGTTTTCTTTCTCTGGTATTTCACAGGTGCTGTTTTGTAGAAATAGCATCCTGTCACTGTCTCTTGTTTATACAGGGGGCAGTAGAGACCAGTATATTTAATTTTGTGGACTACTGTTCTCTTGTATCTGTCAGAATAGGCAGCAAGCACAGTCTGGGTGTTTTCTTGGAGAGAGGTTTGAGTTAAAATAACTAGACTTTTGGATTTGATGTTATTCAACTGGGCAGTCTGTTAATATGGTTTTAGATGAAACAGATTGAGGCATTTTTCCTTCTCTAATTCCCACATACTCTCCCATAGAGGAAAGACTGGAGCGTTACCTATCCTGGGAATAACATGGAGCTGATTCCACTTATTCCAGCTGCTTTACTTAGTTTTTGTTCTTAAGCAGCATTTACAGGCTGTAGTTGCGGTATCAGTCTCTAGGGGAAAGGGACCATATTCTTAGATCCTTGTTAAAATAAGAACAAATTTTAAACCCCCCAGGCTTGATATTTTTATCCCAATAAAATTAAGCATCTCACATAGGAAATGCTGTGTTTTCTTCTTAATGGTTATCTGTTGTTTTCATGTAATGTTATGTTCTTTTCCCATACTTTTCATCTGCTGTTACTTGCTGGCCATAAGCATGTACAGCGTTGTAGTTGATTGTATACCAGTTCATTATTGTTGGTGTACAGCATCATATAAACTTCTCCCATTAAAAAGTTTACTTGGTTACTATGGGAATGAAATTGCTTCTGCAGTATGTGTAAGTAGGCCATCCTGGTGTCTTTCCCAGCAAATTATTTTATTTTTTTTTTTCTGCTTCAGTGGTGATAGAATTACTGTAGATTTTTATTTTCTCTTAACAAAAGAATGAGGCTTCTAATACTAGTCAGTTACAACAGTTACTGTTTCTAAATGCTGTGTATAGTGACCAAGTTTGTTTTCATTTCAATACCAATAAACTAATGTGCAGATAAACCAAAGAATAAACTACAGGGGTATAGTGGTTTTGAATAATTGAAATGCAGTTATCTGAACTGTGGAAGTATTACATTAACTCTCATTAGTCTCTTGTGTATCTATGTAGTGTTTTGCTTTGCTTTTGGGAGATGGCAGAGTATTTAATACGAACTACATTATGTTTTTAAAATATTGTCACAGTTTTAGCCAATAACTGGGTGACAGATGCTGTTATCCCTCCACACTGCCCTCCCAGGGGAAGATAAAAGGGGATTAAGGTACTAAAGTACAATAGAAAAATATCTTTATTACTTAGTGGGAAGGAATCTCAATACAGAATTTTCACCGATAACATAAATTGCACTTTATTTTAAATCAAGGAGTGGCTATTACTTGTCCATACTTACACAGTAGTCTTGGGCCAGTGTGGAGTCCAGTCAAACGAACAAGCATATTTCTAGTGTCTCATGATTGTGTGTTTATAAAGAATTAATAAAAAAGCCCAAAGAAAGTTGCAGTTGGTTTAATGAAGATGATTCTTTAACTAAACCAGTGTTTGAGAGTTGCAGCTGGCTTTTCTGTACATTATGTTGGCTTGTCTATATGTGTTGTTCAGTCTTGTTTGAACAGTTTTCTAAAGCCAGCTTGAATGAAAAACAGTGACTTAATACTTGATTTTTGCATTGTAAGGAAGCATGCTGCATAATTTTGTGCTTCCATAGAACGCAATAAAATTGTAATTTTTATTTTTTTTTAAATAAACAAAGTTTGTGCCATATCCAGTCTCTGTCAGGAACACTGTGTTTACAAATTTATGTGCAATTTGGGGTTATTAGCAACGACTGAAAATACAGTTAGCATTTTAAACATGCTTGACTACATTCCTGGCTGTAAAGGTAGGTATCTTGCCTCAGGGAGGGCGGGGTTATTTGGAGGGCAGAATTTAAACAGGAGCCTGGAAATGGGACCTCTCGCTCATGATGAAAGCAAAAATCTTGTAATTGAGTTTCTGTTTAGTGACTTGATTTTTTATTTTTTTTTTCAGTGTTTCTAACTTTATGAAAGAAGAAACGTGTCATTGCTTTGAGGCAATGGATAATGCAGAGCTGTTTTTAACTTTTCTAAATTTCTCTTGCAGTTAGCCTCAGCTGTTCTGGAAGCTGTTGAAAATAACACACTGAGCATTGAACCCGTTGGCTTGCAACCTGTTCGATTTGTGAAAGCTTCTGCAGTTGAATGTGGGGGACCAAAGTATGTTGAACAAACAGACAGGGGGAATCTTGACTTATTTGAGATAACTCTTGGATTCAGAAAGCTGCTATCAACTGACCACCTCAGTCAAATTTGTGTTTCTTGAGCTTTATTTCCTAAAATCTAAGACTTCAAGATTGCACTTACAAAATTTTATGGGGAAAGTAAGCAATTAATAAATCAAACTTAAAAAACCCCCCTAATATAAAACAAACCTTTAAGACAATTTTCTCTTTTTGGGAGAGCTGTTTATTTCACTTGTGATGCATTTACCATAAAAGTAACATTAACTACTTAGGAGAAGACCATCCTGATACTTAAAGCAGATGCTTTTGAACCAGCGTTGATCTTATGGAAAGCATCATGAAAGAAATAGGTATTGAAGTAGTAAAGGCTGAATAATGGACACCTGGAGTATTTGTAGAGTAAGAAATTTAGGATACATAGCACACTGACAAGGGTAGCTGAAGGATTTGAGAGGAGATCTATAAAGTAAATCCTCTGAATTAGAAATGTAATGAAGCAGGGATGAAGGTGAGTCTGAAACTAAAGCAGGAAGTGTGCTTGAATGACAGGAAGGTTGTCTTAGAAATTTTTGAATGGTCCTAGACCATTGCTTCATATGAAGCAAAGCTTGTCAGGTACTGATGTAGACATTGAAGTTAGGTGGGAGGGATTGCCTGAGCCACTGGGGTTTTGATGGATGCGGAGGAGAAGGAAGGGATTTGTAGTGTGCTTTAGTGTATGTCAGAGTTAAGCAAGTAAGGTCAGTGTTAATCTGAAGCCTTTCGAATCTTGAGAAAGCCTTGACTTTTCTGTCTTTTGAACAAGTTGACAATTCTCTGTGTTATATTTGTTTTGACAGAGCTCAATTACCTGATAGAAAATTTGCACCAGAATGTTTTTATCAGGCTTTTATATTTTAATTTCTCATCATTGTTGTCTTTAAGGTCTTGATTTTAATCTGGTTTTGTGTGGAAGAGAAAATACATGTAACATTTCTTTTCTGCTTTCTCTTTAGAGCAGCTGTATAAAATGCTAATAGTTTTATGACTTCATATTTGATTTTTTCTAGCCTACAAAATTCAGGCATTTGTATGTTCTTCAGCTTACTCCTGTCACCAGAAAACACGCTCTTTGAGCTGTAACAGCCCCCATCAAGAAGGCCCTCCGCCAATAATGGAGCTGCTCAAGGGGTGGTGATTTCAAGTCCAAGATACACCACTGAGAGCTGCATTCCGTGGATGCAGTAGAGAATCTGGATAGACAGAAGCTATCCAGACGACTTGTTTCAGTCACGTGTTAAGGAGCAACTGGCAAATTGATTTAAAATCATTGTAGTTCAAGAAACTTCTCTATGTCTTGACATGATTAAATACTTCAGACCAGGAGACTTGGTTGGTTCGTTCACAAGTTTCCTAAATTTTTAATGTTTCCTCCAGTGTAAAATACTTTTTAATCGGAACTCAATGTAATCCTTAAATAGTTGGCTAGGTATAGGTTACTGTTTTGTTTATGCACAAATTGTAATTTAGTGACTTTAGTTGTATTAGAGGCCAGGTGTACTCCTCTCTCCCTTTTCCTGCTGTCATGTAGGGACAAAAGCTTCTGCAATATTGCTTGTTGATAAGTAATAGGTAAGGAATATGTAATATTTAAGGGTGATTTGACAGGAAATGTGCTTTGTCTTGTCTGTGATTACTGACACTGAATGAGGAACAGGTATTCCAGTTTTCACTGAACCAGAGTAGCAGTTTCACATTTTTTATTTTTATACAGTGCAAAGTGCCATTTTTATTGAAACCATGTTCTTAAATAGGTAACAAAATATAGACAATCTGCAAATAAATAATAACAAAAACTACAGTAATGTTTTAAAAGGAATTCTTTTATTGCACAGTTCCCTCAGGGATGAGGGAACAGCCACATAAAATAGCGAGTATTGGTCCAACAGCAAAATAAGGTGCAGAGGGCAGAGAGCTCTGATAATAGAGAAGAAAGGTTCTTGATATACAGAAGTTATTGAATGGTGCCTGTGATGGTGTGTAGTAAGTGCTGCCTTAACGAAAGGCAGCTGGGTTTCCCCACAGGATTGGAGTAATTATCCCTATGGGGAACAAAGCACTGAGCTGCATGTGTGCTGTGCAGTGCAGAACTGAGTCATTAGTAGTAACTGTCATGCCAGTGTTTAACCTGATGTGATGGAAAATAACATACAGAAGGTAATTCTATAGCCAGAAGGAAGAAAGGGCTTTATTTTCCTAGCATTGAAGCTCTGCCTTCTCACAAAAGCTTGACTGAAATTGCAGTCAGCTTGCTTCAGCTACTGTAGGATTTCTTGGATCAATGGACTGCTGGCAGTTCTCATAAATTGCTATGGAAAATCATACACACTCTTCAATTTTCTCCTGTCTTACAAGGTTCTGTGGACCATCTGTAGGCTATTTAAAAGGGCCTCTGAGCCACTATTTAGAACCACAGAGGCTTAGTAATTTTTGTTTTGCTTTTTTAAAAGGCTGGTTGCTCTTAGACTCCCTAATTTTGAGGTAGAAATGGAAGGGAGAAGAGCCAGCAGCTTTCAAAATCAATGAAACAGTGGATGCCATGACAACCCAGTTCATCTGAGATGCTGCAATATAGAAATTCCAAATAAATCAAATTCCTATTTTATTCACATTTATTAAGGTTGTATTAATGGCAGTTTCTAGAAGAGATTAAAACCTTTTAAGAAGAATGCTGGAGGAAATCTTTTACAATTCTTTGCCTTTTTTGTGAGTTGTTTTATGGGAAGAAAGTGGTTATTTACTGACCTTTCCTTGTTCTTGAATACAACATACTTACATCAGAAATAGTAAATTTGACTATTTTATCATCACTTTCTATAATTGTAATGGAAAGACTTATTGCCAAACAGCCTGTTTTTCCTTTATCTCAAATTATTTTATACTCTGAATATAAAACATTATTTCACTTTGGCCATAAATGCAAAGCTGGTCTTAGAATGCATCTGAGAAAAGCTTCAGAGAATTCACTGCTGTTCTGTAAGGCTGATATTTTTTTTTTTTTATTGAGAAATGACAACAAACCAGTGACTATTTTATCATCACTTTCTATAATTGTAATGGAAAGACTTATTGCCAAACAGCCTGTTTTTCCTTTATCTCAAATTATTTTATACTCTGAATATAAAACATTATTTCACTTTGGCCATAAATGCAAAGCTGGTCTTAGAATGCATCTGAGAAAAGCTTCAGAGAATTCACTGCTGTTCTGTAAGGCTGATATTTTTTTTTTTTTTATGATGAAATGCAACATCAAGCAGGATTTTTAAAAAAACTGCTTAAATGTTGTCATCAGCTGATAATTTAGATTGTTATTTCACATATGAAGAGTTAATTAAAGAAATCCCACTGTTCTGGAGTTGTCAAGCCAGCTTGAAGTAGTGAACATATAAGTACCAAAAAAGGACCAAAGCTAAATAAAGTTTTAAAAATGAGAACTGCATCACGATGCACTGGCATTGGAACAAAATTAGTTCTTGTGGAACTAAAATAATAGACAACATAATTTAATAATTGCAACTTGTAAAATGAAGGCAGACACTTGCATCTCTGTGCCAGTATGAAGCAATTACATTAACATCTTAAACACATGCAGGTGTTTAGATGTTAATGTCAGATTTGTTCATTAAATCATGCAAACTTTGTATTTTGTAGGAAATGTGCTCTCAGTGGACAAAGTAAATCCTGCAAGCACAGAATCAAATTAGGAGATTCAAGCAGTTATTACTACATTTCTCCTTTCTGTCGTTACAGGGTAAGTAGATGTACTGTGATTTCATTTTGAGTAGCAGTTTATTTTTCCATGCCATTAAAAAAAATTATATTAACCACTATTATTTTTATATGGGTTCAGATCACTTCTGTGTGTAACTTCTTTACATATATTCGATACATCCAGCAAGGACTGTTGAAGCAGCAAGACGGTGAGTAGAAAATGGTATTTGGCATATATAAATATAAATTTACATGGTACATGTACCTAAAACTTACTGTCTGTGCACAATAGCAGTGACCTAACACTACAGGAAAGGTATTTGCCATTAGTGATTACTGTAATTAAGAGAATTTGGTGATATCCCACTGTCTGATAAAGGTGTTTTTTTTAAGAACAATGACTTAAAAAGCAGTGGGTTTTGTGCATCTAAAACCCCCTTATGTTGTTCAGTAAGAAATGTTATGAAAAATTCCATAAAGACAGAAGTTAGTCGGTTTTTCTACACAGCATAAAAAAAAATTAAGACTCTTTCAGAGAATATGTAGATCTTTTAGACCATAAAAGCTTCAGCTCAGTTTGATCTGGGCCATTTTTTCTTCTTTCATTTGGTGTTTTGGTGCCTCTTCTCATTTCATGCATTGAGACCTTCTTGTCAGACTGTATTTTCAGGGAGAACTGGCAAAGATGACAATATTTTGGGTTGAATTGTAAAAAATAAACAGGAAATCATATCGAGTTCATCTGACTGCAGCTGAGAAATAAGGTCTCTGTCATGGCTGTGGCATGGCAAAGTCTCTTGATTAGAGCTCTGGCTATAATTATATCTGATAATGGAAGATTTGATCACTCCCCACCCCAAAAAGGGAACTGGGCTTTTAGTGACATTGATTCAGGCTGGGTTTTTTTCCCCCCACTGGGTATGTAGTGTCAAATGCTGTTTAAACTCTTGACTTCACAGTAGTTTGGAAATTGGCATAACTGTGCTATTCAGTTTCAGTATGTCCCTATAAAAGAAGATGGTTATAGAAATGTATGCACTGTACACCTTGTTACTTAATTGAAGAATTTAAACATGCTGTCTGAGTTGTAATTACTGGGCTTCATTTCCAAGACTGTATTACTTGTTTATCGCTATAAAAGAAAACTATGGTGATTTGATTGTGTTTAAACTGTACACAATTGATTTAATTGTCTTCCCTGTCCAGGTCAAAGAATATTCCCCAACAGCCTTCAGTCCAAGGATTTTTTGAAACAGACTGTATCATTTAGGCTTCTGGATTTGCTAAGCAGAGATAGCAGAAAAACTGTCATTAGCCCTGTGTGAATAGTGATTTTAAAAAGTTGGTTTCACTTTTTAAATTTATTTTTTTTAGTTCTGTTCCAGTTTTGGAAGTAGAGTATAACAACATTGTAATGTTTATAGATGTCTGTGCTTTTCATTCTTTCAGTTTCAGAGTCTGGGTGGATTGGTTTTATCCAGAATTTGACTAGAATTAGCCCCACTTTGATCTATGTCACCCATAGTCATCTCTTCTGGTTTTTCCCAATTTGAAGAGCTTGATATTTTAGCTACACCCTAATCTTTTGTTTCCATTTCTAACCTGAAGCATTCCTAAGCTTATAAATGAAGAAACTGTTGCTTACAGAAAAGAATGCTGTTAGCTTTCCTGGTCAAAGTGAATAATTTTCATGGAATTAACCAGAAATTCACTTATTTCATGCAGTAAATTATGTATGAAATTATTAAACATTATTATTATGTATAATAAAACCTTCAGATGGATGTAGATTTTATGGATATACTAGTATTGCAGAAGATATTGAACATGTTTTATTTGGTTTATAGTTAAAAGGCTTTGACCAAAATTAACTGTATATAGTTAAACTAAAAATAATTTTTTCCTATCAAATATTTTCAGTATAAGACTTATTTATTCTTCACAAGATGTTTTGAAAAAAAAAATCAATATGGTGTTTCAGTTCAATTGTCATCTTTACCATTAAAACCACAGAATTTCTGGTTGTAGTTTTGTGTAAATATTTCAACAATATCTTTAGAAGAATGTGGGCACTCATGATTTGTCTGCATAATATGTTGCATGTATTTCTACTCATGCGTCATATTTTTTCAACAAAGGTCACTTTTACAAAAGTGGCTTTTGAAGTATGGGTGGAAAGACCTTGCATTTCTTGCTTAGGATAATAATCTTTGTAGTCATGCTACATCTTGATTGTGTGGAAACTTGGTTTTGGGTCTCAAATAATTACATGCTCAATTCTGATTTATATTGCTGTGGTATCTAGAAGTTTAAGGTGTGCATCAGGCTCATCAGATTTAGCAAAATATGGATGAAATTTTAAGTTTCTTTTTCCTCCCCAGTTTATTGCTGCTGGCAGATTACTGGTAGATGAAAAAGGGAAGAAGAAAGGTTACAAGTGGAGAAATTAGAACAAGATGATAGATTCTGTGGTTAAACAATTCTTATCCAACAAGTTCTATTTCTTTTTTTCGTGCAGTCTTTTAATTTTACAGAAAATGGGTGAAGGGTCAGGGCAACTAAAATGACAAACAGCAATCAGTTGAAGTGGACAAGAAGTACTGAAGTATTTTTGTTCCTCAATTTAAAAAGAAGTCACTTCAATTAGAAGTATTCTTCTGGGGCCATGATTTAGCATTTTTAAAATAAAACACTTTAATAGGTTTTGTCCCAACCAAGCTTTAATATCCCTCACACATATTAATTCTGGTTTTACTAGATGTGTGTTACTTCTTAATTCCCCCTAAACGTACAAGGAAGCAGCTCGTATACATGAGTTGAAATAAAATGTGAATACAATATGTTTCATGATATTTCTGTCTTTTTTTAGTGGATCAGATGTTCTGGGAAGTTATGCAGCTGAGAAGAGAGATGTCACTAGCAAAACTTGGATACTACAAGGAAGAGCTCTAAATCTTTTTACTCTTGCGCATGCATGAACTTCATTGAAAATACATAACTAAAATTGCTGAATCTTTTTGTCACTTGATATTTATTTCCACAAAGTGGGTCCAAGATTTTTCTCCTTTTGCAGATTGCACTAAGAAGTACTGTGATTGTTTTAAACTGACTTCTGCTGTATATGCATACATATAATACTTAGTTGAACAAATGTGGTAAGCACTTGCAGGTGTATTAGTGATTGTAATTTACATTTAAAAACAAAACTTCTGATTAAAGTGTTAGTCTGAAGCAGTGTCTGTCTTGTCTCTGATGATGTGAACCTCTAAGTCACTCTGAAATGTAAAACTGAGATTTATGAAGAGGGAATAAATACCTCACACTTTCTTCATTATAGTGTTTTCAGACATGTATGTATCTGAGTGAATGCTAATACAGTTAACAGATAACTGGAAGAACCTGGAATTCTAGAAAGTTCTGCTTTCCTAAATTTTTCATTCTTAAAGCAATGTAAGAAGAAAAACATACATAGTGATGAATCAACAGCAGAATAAATCTGGATGTCTTCTCTCTAAAGTAGGGTTCTTTTCATGCATCAAAGAACAAGAAAATTACCATCATCACTCTTTGGTTAGAAATCTTCCCCTCTAATTTTCTTTCATTAGAATATTTTAATTCCTTTAAATAATTTTTTTTTCCTCTTGTTTTCTTGGGTTTCCCTGTTTCCAGTGTTTTATACATAAACTTCCCACAGCTGTCCTTGAAAGTGGAAAATATTCATGATGTGATTTCTCTAACATGCTGATGATAATTTCCATATAATGGTAGCAGTTTCTTCACACACACAATTAACTACAAATAGAACCCAAAGAAAGATTCATGGCTTCTTAAGGAAGATGCTTTTTCTGTTCAAGTGCTACTTATACACTTCAAGGGGTCCTTTTTGCCTGGAAAGGGAAAGCTAAAAGCAGTTGATTAGGTTACAAGTTGTGGGTATGTGGTAGACTTGCTATGTGAAAGACTTACTGGAAAAACATTGGTCTTGATCATGACAGCCCTTTATCAATTACAGATTGGATTTACCATTGCCAGGTAAAATGAAAACATTAGAAGTAAAGGCAAGGTTTACAGCTGGTTCTTTTAACAGAAAGCATCTCAGTGGATACTGGTTTTTTTTGTTTAATGCAGAACAAAAATAACACTATTCATCACTGTCTTACTGGAGTGTTCTCCATTTCTCCAAAAGTAAATAGAATGAGCAGTGAAATTTAATATCATACTTAATGTTGCTTGCACTTGTACGTGCCTAAAAACACTTTGCAAGTGTTGGCTTTGAACTTTTGACATTTCAGTGTTAACATTAACAAAATCCAACATAAATATTTTACTAGTAATGGAGTATGTCCAGCCTGGGCTACTTCAGTACTGATGAAATACTTTTTATCAGTCTCTGAGTACTAGTTCCTACTGTAGAAATCTGGAGGAATTCTACCTTTAGTTGTTAAAAGGTTGTTTATTATTTCAATAATGCTAAGGAAGCCTGATTTTACTCTTAAAAAGCAAACTGTATTTGTTGATACTATGTTTTTATATTAGGCTCATAAAGACTTCCTAAATGATTGTTAATCCTTAGTTTACATAATGAAATCAAACCATTTCCAGGATTAGCAAACAGTAGTTAAATGATAGCTCCTAGCTGCTGCTATTCTGACTTAATAATCCTTCACAAATATTGCTCATCTGAGCAGAGAGAAGGGGTCCTTCCTGTTTGTGATTGTGTCAAGACATAAGTGGTAGCTGAAGTTTATTATGTTGAGTTGGTTTATCTCATATTAGGGGCTACAAAGATGTACCTGAATATATTTCTGTGGTAATGACTGGTTGGCTTGATTACATCTATGTCTTGCAAATACTGATTGGCTTGCTTTTGAATTCAAGTCCCTGCCCCAAAATTGTTTTCTATATTTTTAATATAAGCTGCCTATCATAAGAAACCTCTGTCACTGAGTGTATGGGGCTTGTAAAAACTGCACAACAGTTACTTGTCTGGTGAATGTCACTACTTCAGAAAATGGCCTTGTTTCCAGACTTCTTGACTTTGTTGAAGTTTTTGTTCACAACCAAATGCTTCTTACAGCTGTCTACTCAAAATGTCCTGTTTGCTTAAGGATGACAGAACAGGGGCCATTGTGAATTTAAACACAGTGAAATGGGTTTTGCCACTAACCTTAAAAGAGCTTGGTTCAGTGTTCAGCTTTCCCATTTATTACAGAATCACAGAATCTTGGAAAAGAACTTTAAGATCATGAAGTCCAACCATTAACCCTACTCTAACCAAGTCTAGCACTAAGCCATATCCCCAGGCACCACATCTTGACAACTTTAAAACACAGCCACGGATGGTGACTCAACCAGCTCCCTGGGCAGCAGGTTCCAATGTCTGACAACCATTTCAGTGAAAAAGTTCTTCCTAATGTCTAGTCTACACTTCCCCTGGCACAGCTTGGGGACATTTCCTCTTGTTCTATCACCAGTTACTTGTGAGAAGAGACCAGCATCTACCTCTTTACAACTTCTTTTCGGGTAGTTGTAGAGGGCAATGAGGTCTCCCATCAGCCTCCTTTACTTTAGACTGATTAGCCCCAGTTCCCTCAGCTGCTCCTCGTGAGACTTGTTCTCAAGGCCCTTCACCAGCTTTGCTGCCCTTCTTGGGACACATTCTGGCACCTTGATGTCCTTGTATTGAGGTGCCCAAAACTGGACACAGTATTCAAGGTGTGGCCTCACCAAGGCTTAGTACAGAGGGACAATCACCTCCCTGTTTCTAACACAGGTCAGGATGCCGTTGGCCTTCTTGGCCACCTGAGCACACCATTGGCTCATATTCAACCACCTATCAATCAGCAGCCCCTAGTCCCTTTCTGCTGGGCAGCTTTCTAGCCACTCCTCCCCAAGCCTGTACTGTTGCATGGGGTTGTTATGGCCCAAGTGCAGGACTCAGCAGTTGGCCTTCTTGAACCTCGTACAACTGACCACGGCATACAATGAAAGTGGTGGCTTTGCTCTTGCATCTTTTATTATTATTGCTTTAATCCATAGCATTAATTACATCACCTGTGTGAAAGTACAGAGACAAGATAAGTAGTTTTTATTACTGCATTTTTTTTGCGCATGTGTAATTATGCTTAATGCTGGGACCAAAGGTCCTTAAAAGAACAACATAAAACATACTGAATGGAAGAACACACATCACCTTCATCTTGCCTCAAAAGCCTTGTCAGATTCTTCATATGTAGCAAAGCATAGCCCTGGCTCTAGTTATAGTGGAGTGAAATCAGCTGGGACAAAGTAATTGAAACCTCTGGCAAAACTATGGTGTGTTCCTTGGTACGTTCATAATCACCTGGAAGAGAGACGGTGTATTTTTCTCAGTGGGACTCTTCAAGCAGTAGAAAAAGCAAAACACTTCTACTGGCTGTTCATGGACGTGGTGGGAGAAAATGAGGCCTTGCAGCAGTTCTTTGAAGGTAAGAGTTTAGTTTTAAGAGACAGTCTTAGCAATTTTGTGAGGCAGGGAAAATAGAGTAATTTGGGGTTAAGTGAAGAAGGAGGGAGGAAGAAGAGGAGCTCCAAACCCCAAAGGTATGTTTACACAGGGCTATCGTGTAAAGGGAATACCAGAATGAAATCATACAAATGGTGCAGATGTATTGCAGTGCTTTGCACTTTGGCCAGTAGAGCAGCAGGAAGGTGGACCCAGCAGAGCCTGCAGCACCGCCATGGTAATTGCCAAGAAAGAAAGCCAGAAAGTGGTTGAGGTCTCCATGCAATTTATCACTACTGAAATAATAGCAATTTTCATGAGCTTGGCTAGCTCCCTCTCTGCTCTGTCATACCATGCCAGGTGAAAGAGGGTTTTCTTTCCACTAATATCGTTCTTCTGAAATGGCCTGATTATAATTGGTAAAATGCTAATTGTTGCTGTATCCTTGGGATCCTTCAGAGAAGGATGAAACGGTTGGTTGTCGGAAGGTACACTGAGGTGTCTGAAATATGTGTGTTTGGTCTCAGGGCTCTCTGTGACCTAAAGAAGGCTCTCAGTGGAATTGCCACCTCTCTGTATACTCATGCTCCTGGAACATGAGCATCCTCCTTTAATATCAGGAAATGATCAGTTTAGTATAGATTTTTAGTCAGCACTAGAAGTTTGTCAGAATATGTTATGTGTTGGGGACTGAATTTATAGCTGCAGAATAAGCACCCTAATAGCCTGCTTATTTGGGTACTCCAAAAGTGATGGCTTTGTGGTTCAAGCCAAATCAAAAACTGTTGTGACTTTGTCTAAAATAGCTGCTCTGTTAAGGACAAAACTTACTGCACAGAGTTTCTGGTTCTCTCTCCCCCATCCTTCACCCTGCATTTGGGTGCTGTTGAAAAAGAGGCAGATGATTTAAATGCCATCATGTGTAAGGAACTACATGGAAGTGTTGGGAGAATTAATTGAGGGATTGAAACTGTTTGCTACAGAAGTGTAGAGTATAAAGTGAAGCTCAGGAGCCAGGTGATAAACCTCACGGCTGGAGGGAAGGAGGGGATGTCTGCCAAAGAGAGAGGTGAAGCAAGCAACTGTCAGATTAGGAGGCTGGAGCTCAGACTATTCCTTGGGAGCCTGGGGCTGGGAACAGGGACAGGCCGGGAGAGAACTGACAGGGAAGCAGAAGCCAGTGGCAGAACTGGCAGGTTTCAGACTTGAGATTGAAGGAGACAGCAGAATATATAAAATTTATGAAGAAACAGGAAAAATGCCACCATATGCTGCCTACGACTGCAGTCTCTGTTCTGCAAACAACAGTGTACGAAACCCCATCACAATATTGTCTTGGCCCTTCATCCTCATCAGTTTCATGGGTAGCTGGCAATCCCCTGCACGGTGACACTGAAGCTGTGCAGTGCAGACACAGTGCAGACTGTCCCCTGAGCTGTCTGGGCATGCTGCAGTGTGGAGTGTGGACTGGGAGCAGAGATCCCCCAGCATAAGCAGATAAAGGCTGCTGACTCCGCACACCCTCCGGCAGCTCTTAGCCAGGCAGGTGTGTGTGCGCAGGGGCCTCAGCAGGGCTTCTCCACCCACCTCCACGCTGCTCTCTGCTCCTGCAGCCACCTAACACCCAGGTGAGAAACTGCCTTGCTGTGCTACCTGTATACAGTACTACCTGTACCTATTAAGTACTTACTGTGGTCAGATGCCTGTGAAATGGATGCCACAATTTTAAATAAATTTGCATACGCTTCATCGGCTCCTCCTCTGCTGAAACGGATGCCAATATAAGCACATGGTGCCACAGACCTGGAAAGTACATTCAGAAAGGAAGCAGGAGGTTTTGCAGGGCAGCCAAACTTACTGGCTCTTCCGTGCACTTGTACTGTGAACTTTGATTAGTGGCAGCCTGTCTTCCTCCTTGTGAACTTCCTTCCTCTCCCAGCACAGAATTACTTACTCTTTCCTTCTCCTGTAACTGTTTATGCAAAATGGAGAGATTAAGAGGGGATGATACATATTGCTGTTGTCATCACTTAAACCAGATCTCATCTCTGGACATATTAAAGGCTCTGTCCTTGTTTCATTAAAAGCTGTACTTCAAAATAGCTTGCCTCTGACCTTGCTCAAAATAAGGAATTTCTGGGTTTGTGGTACTGGAAAAACACTTGGTATCTGAGCTCTGGCCTCACATTAATAACAAAATTGTATCAGACTCCACACCTGGAGTATTGCATCCAGTTTTGGGCACCTCAATTCAAGAGTGATATCAAGGTGCTGGAGTGAGTACAGAGGAGGGCAACGAAGCTGGTGGAAGGCCTAGAGAATAAATCTTATGAAGAATGCTTGAAGGAGCTGGGAATGTTTAGTTTGAGAAAGAGGAGGCTGAGGGGAGACCTCATCAGTCTCTACAACTACTTGAAAGGACATTGTAGAGAGGTTGGTGCTGGTCTCTTTCCACAGGTAATTAGCGACAGAACAAGAGGGAATGGCTTCAAGCTGCAGCAGGGGAGGTTTAGACTGGACATTAAGAAATTTTTTTTCACAAAAAGAGTGGTCAGACACTGGGATAGGCTGCCTGAGGAGGTGGTTCAGCCACCATCCCTGGATGTGTTTAAGGGTCGTTTGGATGTGGTGTCAGTGGAGATGGTTTAGGGTAGAACATCGTAAAGTAGGGATGATGGTTGGACTCAGTGATCCCAAGGGTCTTTTCCAATCTGAATAGGTCTATGATTCTGTGAAGGGCAGGAAATTTGAACAAGAGGAACAGCGGGGTAAAAGGAAGAGAAGGTGATTGAACAATTTTCCTTTGGTACTACATTAGCAAAAGGAGGAATGTTTGAGATTCAAGGGGTATTTGGCCCAAATTCAGACATGCAGAACGAAAATAGGAGAATCTAAGAAGTCAGAGGAAGGCTGCTAAGGAAAGCCTGTCTCTTGTGTACTCTCAAGCTGCTTTTGCAAAATGCTTTGCTGCTGCTTCGAGACTTTCCATGTTACCATTTTGCTGAGGCAAGTAAGCATGCTGTATGTTCTCTGATATGCAGAGGACAGGTCCATACACAACACCAATGCTGGCATGCACGAATCTGTGAGTAGCACACCTGCAAGTTGGTGTCTCAGTGAAAGGCAGCCAAAATGAAATCTGCAGCAGAGATAAGCCCACGGTGCCCAGATTAATCTGCAGTCACAAAGCAATTTAGGAGATGTTTATTGACAATGTGAATTTATGCATTAAGACAGATACATGAGGGAATTCTGTGCAAGGTGGTTGAAGTAGATTTTTAGATGCTGCTTGCAGTTAAATAATGTCTAAACAATGAATCAAGAAGGAACCGTGTCAGACAGACACCAGGAAAAAAAACAATACATGTTATGATATGACTTCTTACTGTGCACATGTCTGAGGAAAGTACAGTGAGAAGAAAGTAAAAGCACCATAGGATTCTATGATTCTGTGATAGGCAGTTACTGCTCCAGGGCTCAGGGACAACGATTAACCTTTTGTGTTCCCTCACTCTGCTCCAGAGCTGAAGGACTGGTTGGTGCCAGTGCCCGTGCCTGAGCCAGGCAGCTCCTGCTTTGCAGAATTGTCCATTTTATTTTGTATAGTAGTGGGGCAGAGACCTGCACTAGGAAAAGCAGTAACTCAAGCCTCCTTATCTTGTTTGCTTTCTGACTGGCCACACCCATTTTTATGGCAGTCTTGCTGGGGAGGTGAGGAGCCTACAGAGCAGTTCTACTTGGCTTTTTTAGAGAGTGAGTTCCGGCTGACTGTCTAAAGAAGTTGTCATGAATTCCAGAGACTTTATAATAATAAAATCTGTTTATAGCCTTCAGTTACCAAGCAACAAAGGACAAAGTACAGAACCTTTCCATTTGTTAATACATTTAATGTGTCCGTGGGCTGTTTTTTGGGGGGAGAATAAAAGGAAGCCACCAATTCCTGTAATATTTCTGAAGTTTCATTTTTGCTTTCTTAATAAGAGTATGAAGTTACCTTCAAAACCTTTTTTTTCCAGTTGCAGGCTGGGGCCCTCCACCCTCTTGCTGTGGTAATCCAGTGAAGACTTAATGCCAGGCATGAACTGGAGCTGTGTTGCCATTTCCAACTTCTCCCCCACATCCTCTTTCACCCTGCATTTCCCATCATTCTTTATCCCAGAGACACCAAAACAAGAAGCAAAACCCACCTTATTACACACAAGGCATGATGGATTTGGTTGTCCTTTGTGTAGGAGACTGGGCAGCATTAGCTAGCCTGAAGCACTGATGATTCCCTCCAAATGCCACTCACATGATTTCTGTCTTTTTGACATTTTTACTTTTAGGTCAAGACATTCATGGAACCTTGGAGAATCCCATGGTGGATACAACTATGTTGGAAGAATTCATCAGCAGTGATGTAGAGCTTGGAACTTCGTAAGTGTTACAGGAACATGTACTTCCATTCCTTAGTAGCTTCTCTTAAGTGGTTTTAATTTGTGCCATAACAAAATCTGAATGCAATGGTCAGACCTGAAATCTGAGTTGCAAGAGGATTAGGGCTCTCTTGGTATTGGTACTTACTTGAAGCTGTATAAGAATACTTGGAAAAATTAATTACAGACAGTAATGGAAGTATGGTCATCTTGTAGTTCCAACAGCATAAATGATAATGAAGTCTGGGATAATTCATAACTGTTAAGCTAATTGTGGCATTAAATGCAAAGATGTTATTTTAACATTTCTGTAAGTGCTAGTTTAGTGTTTACATACAGAGTAAGTGATGTGAGACTAATGTGTAATACATTGAGAGATTAATGTAAACTTCCCAGTTTGAGGGAAGCAGGGCTATTCTTGTGACCCTAATGCTTCATTCAGAACAGAGAAACTGTCCATTAATCTCTCCTGAGACTAACTTTAAGACATACAAAGATGCATAATGTAAAGGGTCATGATCAAGGGTAGAAAGTTATGCAGCATGGATCTATCACAGTCTTCAAACAGAACTCTTTCATCTAGACAACTGTCAGATGACTTGTTCAGTGCAATGTTCTTGCACTTGCCAAGAACCACAGCAAGAGGCAATGTTTTAAAAATAATTAAACATGGGATTTTTCATTCTGGACACACTTGACAGCACATAAATTTACTTACAGTAGGCTAAATAGCATTCTACCTTTTCTAAATCATGAATAATGAATTGAGTCTCTCTTCCCACAGTATACAAGTAAAGAAGAATGAAGAAGTTGCTGTATATAAATATACATAACTTTTTTTAGAGTAACCAAACATGTATTGGGTAAAATATTATTGAAATTCTGTGTGACAACTTTAAAATACTATACTTCTGCTTTTATGCACAAAACATAGCAGTAATACAAATGTGTATGTATATATTCTACTACATAGCTTAGCTATGTTAGGTATTATAGTTGCAGTGCTACAAAGTATTTACGTGCAAGGAAATAATCTGTAAAGCTATTACAGGCTCAGCAGGATTTTACACTGATACTAGAGTAATACTTCATTAATTATGGGATTGAGAACATTTCCTGAATCATCAGATCTCTAAAAGTAAAATTACAAAGTATTTGCCTGTATTGCAGACTATCTGCATAAACAGAATGGAATCTCATAAAGAAACTTGTCAAAATGTGTCAAAGGAGAAAAAATATTAAAAGCCTCCATATATATAAATCTATAAATATATAAAATACAGATCAACATAATGGCATGAGCAATACTGAATGGAGAAAACAATTAAAAGGGTGCTGTTACCACGAAGGTCTTGGGTGCATCTCTAAGTGTCCATTAAAGATCATCTTCCATGAGACAGGCCATTGGTGTTACATTTGTTCTCCTTTTACACCACATGTGAAGCACCATGTGATTTCCTTATCTTTTCCTGCAGTAGTAGGAAGATACTCTTGAGCAGTGAAAGGAGAAAAAGGGTTGCATGTCCTTTCCTAAGCAGTAATTTAATTGATGTACAATTTAATTGATATTTAATTCCTAAGCAGTCATTTAATTGATATATGTCTGCAAATCAAAAGAATTTAAACGACTGAACATTTTTTCCTTGAAAAGCACAACACCAGTTTCAGTTAAGTTTTCATGTGGAGACATCTCCCTGCTACCTCTGTACTTTATGAGTACTTTCTTTGTCCTATAAAATACTTGCCTTTTACTGAAATGCTCTCACTTGAAGCAGAAATTGAGTACTCAAGGCAGCATTTGAAATCAGGAACATTAACTGAATGTGTAGAATGGAAGTTTTAGACTTTTATGGATGTATATTTTTAAATTTTACAAGGCACATTTAGAACTCAGTATCTATAGATCAAGTATCCCACAACAAAAAAATAATTTAGGAGTTTACCAACTCTCTGTTCAAAGTTGAAAACTGTGTTTACAGTGGTAGACATGATATTTAAAAGCATCAGAAGAAATGCTTTTAAGGAAATAAAAGATTATTCTAATGTGGAATTTTTTTGTTTATTTTTTAAGAGTAATTGTGTAGTTGAAGCTAACCCAAAATGCAATGTTGTGGATGTGGCATGTTAGAAAATCAGCAGCAATACCATTATGACAGGAAAATATGTCACAAGTCACAGGCTGTGACCAAGAACAAAATTGTTCTCTCTTGTGCCATCCAAACTCAGAAATACAACATCTGAAGTAGAAATAGTAGAATTAAAATCAAGTGATGGAAATTTTCCATTGATGCTTCAAAATATTTGCCGTGCATGAGGGAAGATGTGTTCTCTGAATATGAGGGTGTCTGTTTAAGCAATTTTGTTTTATTCAACTTCTGCCAGAACACTTGGCCTTAGTAAAGCAGGTGTGCCTCACTAAACGTCTCCCTTCTTTCATCTACTCTATCATTTTTAGCCTAACATGCATTGTAGCTACTTGTTTTTAGAGCAGCACAAGAAAAGGTTTCTTTCACTACATGAAAGACATTGAGTTGCTGAAGCGAGTTCAGAGAAGGGCAACCAAGGGTGAAGGGGCTGGAGAACAAGGCCTATGAGTAGAGGCTGAGGGAATTGGGGTTGTTTAGTTTGGAGCAGGCTGAAGGGGAGACCTCATTGCTCTCTACAACTACCTGAAGGGAGGTTGCAGGGAGGTGAGTCTTGGCCTCTTCTCTCAAGTAAATAACAATAAGACCAGAGGAAATGACCTGAAGTTGCGCCAGGGGAGTTTTAGACTAGATATTAGATATTAGGAAGAATTTATTTACTGAAAGAGTGGTCAGGCACTGGAATGGGCTGCCCAGGGAGGTGGTGGAGTCACCATTCCTGGAGGTATTGAAAAAACATGTAGATGAAGTACTTCAGGACGTGCTCTAGTAGTGGTCTTTTCCAACCATGACAATTCTGTGATTCACTTTCTGCTTGAAAATCAGGAGAAAGCTGCTCAGTAAAATATGGGCTGGTATGTTCTTGAACAGAGCAGTGTGCCTGGAGTTCTTTAGGCAAGAATCCTGGGAGATCACGTTTTCAGATATTTACCTGCTTCAGTAACAAAAACCAGTGAACACTAAAAATAACTTGTTTGGCTTTCCATGTTGACCTCTCCCAAGCAGGTGTGCAAAAACATAAATCTTTCCTTCTTGACTATAAGGCTTGGCACAGAGGTGGCTGTGGATCACGTGGAATTTCTTGATTCCCAGCCAGGATTCCTCTCTCATGCTTCTAGTCTCTTGTAATGACTGTTAGACCTTAACAGAATGGAATCTCATAAAGAAACTTGTCAAAATGTGTCAAAGGAGAAAAAATATTAAAAGCCTCCATATATATAAATCTATAAATATATAAAATACAGATCAACATAATGGCATGAGCAATACTGAATGGAGAAAACAATTAAAAGGGTGCTGTTACCACGAAGGTCTTGGGTGCATCTCTAAGTGTCCATTAAAGATCATCTTCCATGAGACAGGCCATTGGTGTTACATTTGTTCTCCTTTTACACCACATGTGAAGCACCATGTGATTTCCTTATCTTTTCCTGCAGTAATAGGAAGATACTCTTGAGCAGTGAAAGGAGAAAAAGGGTTGCATGTCCTTTCCTAAGCAGTAATTTAATTGATGTACAATTTAATTGATATTTAATTCCTAAGCAGTCATTTAATTGATATATGTCTGCAAATCAAAAGAATTTAAACGACTGAACATTTTTTCCTTGAAAAGCACAACACCAGTTTCAGTTAAGTTTTCATGTGGAGACATCTCCCTGCTACCTCTGTACTTTATGAGTACTTTCTTTGTCCTATAAAATACTTGCCTTTTACTGAAATGCTCTCACTTGAAGCAGAAATTGAGTACTCAAGGCAGCATTTGAAATCAGGAACATTAACTGAATGTGTAGAATGGAAGTTTTAGACTTTTATGGATGTATATTTTTAAATTTTACAAGGCACATTTAGAACTCAGTATCTATAGATCAAGTATCCCACAACAAAAAAATAATTTAGGAGTTTACCAACTCTCTGTTCAAAGTTGAAAACTGTGTTTACAGTGGTAGACATGATATTTAAAAGCATCAGAAGAAATGCTTTTAAGGAAATAAAAGATTATTCTAATGTGGAATTTTTTTGTTTATTTTTTAAGAGTAATTGTGTAGTTGAAGCTAACCCAAAATGCAATGTTGTGGATGTGGCATGTTAGAAAATCAGCAGCAATACCATTATGACAGGAAAATATGTCACAAGTCACAGGCTGTGACCAAGAACAAAATTGTTCTCTCTTGTGCCATCCAAACTCAGAAATACAACATCTGAAGTAGAAATAGTAGAATTAAAATCAAGTGATGGAAATTTTCCATTGATGCTTCAAAATATTTGCCGTGCATGAGGGAAGATGTGTTCTCTGAATATGAGGGTGTCTGTTTAAGCAATTTTGTTTTATTCAACTTCTGCCAGAACACTTGGCCTTAGTAAAGCAGGTGTGCCTCACTAAACGTCTCCCTTCTTTCATCTACTCTATCATTTTTAGCCTAACATGCATTGTAGCTACTTGTTTTTAGAGCAGCACAAGAAAAGGTTTCTTTCACTACATGAAAGACATTGAGTTGCTGAAGCGAGTTCAGAGAAGGGCAACCAAGGGTGAAGGGGCTGGAGAACAAGGCCTATGAGTAGAGGCTGAGGGAATTGGGGTTGTTTAGTTTGGAGCAGGCTGAAGGGGAGACCTCATTGCTCTCTACAACTACCTGAAGGGAGGTTGCAGGGAGGTGAGTCTTGGCCTCTTCTCTCAAGTAAATAACAATAAGACCAGAGGAAATGACCTGAAGTTGCGCCAGGGGAGTTTTAGACTAGATATTAGATATTAGGAAGAATTTATTTACTGAAAGAGTGGTCAGGCACTGGAATGGGCTGCCCAGGGAGGTGGTGGAGTCACCATTCCTGGAGGTATTGAAAAAACATGTAGATGAAGTACTTCAGGACGTGCTCTAGTAGTGGTCTTTTCCAACCATGACAATTCTGTGATTCACTTTCTGCTTGAAAATCAGGAGAAAGCTGCTCAGTAAAATATGGGCTGGTATGTTCTTGAACAGAGCAGTGTGCCTGGAGTTCTTTAGGCAAGAATCCTGGGAGATCACGTTTTCAGATATTTACCTGCTTCAGTAACAAAAACCAGTGAACACTAAAAATAACTTGTTTGGCTTTCCATGTTGACCTCTCCCAAGCAGGTGTGCAAAAACATAAATCTTTCCTTCTTGACTATAAGGCTTGGCACAGAGGTGGCTGTGGATCACGTGGAATTTCTTGATTCCCAGCCAGGATTCCTCTCTCATGCTTCTAGTCTCTTGTAATGACTGTTAGACCTTAACTGTCTTTCCATCTTGTAGTCCCTGGACCTCTGCACCTGCTCCCTGTAATTCTTCCACAGGATGTCTCAAGGTGCTGTGCTATGCTGGGCCCAGCAGCCATGGTGCAGGAAGGGACAACTCTGTCAGGACATCTCTGTGCTGGGACATCTTTATGCTGGGACACCAGCACAGCCCTGTATCATCTGCTGATCCACATGTCCCAGGACAGAGATGTCCCAGTGGAGAGTTGGCAGTGGAGAGTTGTCCTAGACCCCCATGGTAAGCAATATTTCCTGAAGAGCACGTGGTGGTCTCCCTCCAGCTGCTTTCAGCATTGCCTTGTGGTCATCATCCCTGTCTCTTCCCAGTAGAAATTAAAATCTCTTCTTCATTCCTAGGCAAAGCCAGTTGCCAGACTCCCCACCAGATTCTGGATCGGAACCGTGTTCTCCACCGCAGCTCCAGAGTAGGTCACATCATTTGTCTTCTCCCAAGCTTATAGAAAGGTCTCCAGCTCCCCTTCTTTCTTCTTAATTTCTTATCTGTTTACTTCTTACAGGACCATGGTATGACACAATGTGGCCCAGTGGCCTGCAGCCTCCACTCCCGTGCCCACCTGCCATGGGTCCCAGCAAGCTTCCCTGCAGGTTCCTGGAGACTTACTCTGACCCCAATGCCAGTGGACATCCCTGTACCCTCCCTCAAGGCTCCTGCCTGAAGACAGAAAATCCTGTGGCTCCTTGGAATAATTCTACACCCTCCAGCTGTTTGGGTTTTAATTATTCATACTTTCAGCCAAATGCATCTCAGATTTCCAGGTAAATGATAAAGTTTTTATGCAGACAATGAGACAGAGGAAAAAAAGTAGGGCTGGTAGAAGGCTCAAGATAGGTGTTAACGTCTTCGTGTTTGTAGGGATTTCCACAGGATGGCAGTATTTAGACATGTTTGAGACACTTGTGGTTGAGGGTTCTTCAAATATCTTGGTGGAAGTCCAGATTGGAAATAAGAATTTCAATTTTTAAAATGTTAGAAGGCTAGAGAAGGATCAACAGATGCTTCATAACCGGATTATAAAAAACATTCAGGTGTTTCACAATACGAATTGCAGGGATTTGTCCATAAGGACCGTGTAAGTGTTCTGATGAGTGGCATGAGGGAGAACAATAATATTGCCATATCTGTGTAAGCAAGTGAAATGGTATTCGTGTATCATTCATAGAGCATGCATTATTTATCTGCCATATTCCCTCACCAGCATGTTGTGGATGATTAATTATTGAAAATACACTTGGTAGTGCAGGCATCCAACCATGATACCTTGTAAGAATGAATTGACTGATCCATGCCAGATGGGGACACCGTTGGTTATGGGGAGATAAATGTGAATTCATCAGCGTTAGTCCTGGGCTTGCAGATGCTCTGTCCCTGTCTCCTCTTCTGCACAGAACTCAATTACATGTTAGGTGTGATGGGGGTACAGGAAGCTGCATCTGGGATTCTCAGCAAAGCTCTTTGTGTTCTCTCTTTGTTTTTCCAGTAGAAGTGGCTAGATAGTAAAACCAGTAATACTTTAGTTATTGGAACTTAAGGTACAAAGTACCTCCTAACCAAATGTGGAACTTTTGAACAAACCCAGAACAAGAATAACAATGTGGTGGGCAGGCTTTTCTTCTGCTCATGGAAAACCTTAGTTTGAGTATGTACTGGGCCTGACTGAGACCTTGAGTTTGGCTTGTTTTTTCCCCCAACAAAAAGTAGTGACCATCTGTTAGGATATTTTGTCTTACATTTTACAATATCAAAACTTTGGAACAAGTTTTTTTACCTTTGCAAAAAAGCACATTTTTTGAAACATCATTTTCTGGGAAAGGGGAAAACAATTCCCCATCAGTTTCCCCTTGAGATCTCTTTGTTAATGCATTAGTTTAACTGTTAATAGTGTTTTCTGTGTAAGAAAGAAAGTGAGTTTATGCTTGGTGCAATACAATTATTCTAAATAAATCTGTGATCTTAGTGCAAATGCCAGGAGACAATAAAACTGTGCTACATATGCTCTGTGTAATGTTTAAAAAAGAGATCAACTTCTTTGTTAATATAAAATAAAAAATAGACTAATTTATGTTTTGGAAGAAAAAACTAAATTTTAAAATTAAAATTAAATTTTAAAGGGCCAACAGCAATCTCCTCCCTCCATCAAATCTGAATTTGTGTGACAAAACAGTTAGAAAGAGACAGCTGGATATTCTTCTTTTATGGTTCTGTAATACCTGTATTTATAATTATAAATGACTAACGTATCATGTGTTCTCAAAAAGTTTTTCTGCAGCATCAAGCAAAAAAAGGAAGCTCTCACAATTGCTGGGAGATGCCAGTGATTCTTCAGTCCAATTTCAGGACTCCAGACAAGGTAAGAAACTCTGTGAAGATGAAATGTGATGTTTCATACAATAGACAAGTAAATATTTTAAGAGTATGACTCTGAGCAGGTGGCAGTGTTAACAGTCTGTACTATGCTACAGTACAAAGGATTTTACCTTTTTAGTGTTTTTGAAAACCAGGACCTATTTTTATTTTGCAAAGCGAGAAGAAGTTTTAGGGGTTTATATTTCTTGGGGACTCTCTGGGCAAAATATTCTCCTCTTCTCTGTGGGTGAGCTGGCAGTACACAGATGATACCATCCTCTGCTGAATTTGCTGGGCACTAAATTGATTAGGCAAAAGAACCATCTTGGGTCAGCTTAGTAGGGAATTAATGTGGTGGATGAGCAAAGAGATTGCAGTTTCCCTTTATCACCTCAATCCATATTTTTTTCTACAAAGTGCATCCATGTGCATGCGGGTATTTCCCCTCCCTCTCCCCAAATTAATTTGATTCATTGTTTCACTAAGATAAAAATGCTAAGCTTATACCAGTTGATACAAAAGAGCTTATCAGGCATGTACAGAAATGGATCAGCTTCTGTGAAGTGTGAGGCTCCCTGTGAATGAGCAGTTTGTAATGAAGGTCTGTTATTGGAAATCTGAGAGTTGCTTGTTATTTCTTTGGAGTAAGTTATTTTTAAGCATTAAATCAATCTTTTAGAACACTTTTAATGAGTAGCAACTGGATTTAGTAGTTTACTTACCCATTGGTATCTTTTACTTGATCAGTGTTTCTTGGTTGTGAGTCGTCCTCTATGTCTACCACTGCTGGAAAGAGATGAACAGACACTTCTATATCTAAAATTGCTGTTGCTGTTTTTAATACATAAAGACACAGCTTTGAAATATGCTTTCCTTGGGAGTCACTGTTAATAAAATCTCACAGAAAAGAACACAGCCATTGGTAAAAATGGCATGGGGATAATTTAGAAAGGCAGTGCTAATTTAATTACTGTGGGGTTTTTTATATATATTTTTCACTCTGCTACATGTCAGAAGCATTGAATTGCAAATGAAGGTTGGGTCTGAAATGATTCTGTCTTGCTGTGCTGCTACTGGCTATGGACAGATCTCAGCTTATATGCTCAATGACTTATTTTCTCCTGTCCTTACTGCACTCCATTTATCTGTCCCTCTTATCACATTCTCCTTTGACTTCATAGAATGTGTGATACGACAGAGAATTATGGTTGACCCTGTCTATCTCAGAATGTATAGTCAAAAAATGTTAACCGGTCATCCAGATATAGTGGTGAATGTGCCTGCTATTGGAAGACTCTGCTTCCTGCTCTGGAACCAAGTAGTCTGTTGGAGCATACTCAGTTTAAACGTGTAGTAGAAAAAATGGGAAACATATGTAATTATTTTGCTTAATTGCTTCTTGCAGTGTTGCATAAAATACTTTTCTTTCTTTCTTTCTTTCTTTCTTTCTTTCTTTCTTTCTTTCTTTCTTTCTTTCTTTCTTTCTTTCTTTCTTTCTTTCTTTCTTTCTTTCTTTCTTTCTTTTTCTTTCTTTCTGTCTGTCTGTCTGTCTGTCTGTCTAAACCTTTCCCCAGAGTTCTCTTCATCGTTTTGGAGGGAATAAAAATAGGAAGTGCTATTTGTGTACTGTTTTGCAAATCAGGAAAAATGAAAAATTTATTTTCTAGGGCAAGGGAATAAAAGAATATAACACAATATTTTGGAGTAACTGTAAAGGGCAATTGGATTTAAATATATGCAATATATTTGTGCTTTATATGTATGTTTATGCATGTAAATATATTTATAAAAATGTTTCTGCAGGATTTTCTGGCTAGTCACAAAAGTAATAACTGAATTGTCACAATCTCTCTACAGCAAATGTTAAGGACTGTGCTGCTGAAGTGCAAGAATATGACAGTGATGGACAGAATGGAGCTTTGGAAAAATGCTGTCAAGCTTTAACGTGGCAACCATATCAAACTTCTCAGTGGAACAGCTTATTTAACGCTAATTATGAAAAACTGTAAGCACTGGTGTTTGCACTTGAAAAAAAGGGGTTTCCTGGGTTTTTTGTTGCTGGTATTGTAGTTTTGTAGAAATTAATGGTACATTTGGCATTCGTTTTTCTTACTGAAAGTAAGACTGGAGAAGGAGGAATAGCAGGCAGAATGGTATATGAGTCTGTAAATGTATCTCATAAGCAGAACCTTAAACACTGGTTGAAATTCATGTCATATTTTCTGACTTCTCTTTAGGGATTTAGAGTCAAAACAAAAATGAGTTAACTTAAAATGCCTGTTAATTTTCTTTTTGAAGCATACTGGGGCAAGTAATTACTAAACATATGGCACCTTTCCCTCTAATGGCCTAAGAGATGGAAGAGAAATGGAATTAGAGTATACCTGAGTTACTTCTGGGCTCGTATCACCTAAGTCGAAGTAACTATAGACACACACACACACACACAAACAAACAAATATATATAACATGCAACTCTTCAGTCGAAGATTGAGAGTTTTTCTGTATAAATCAGAACTCTAAATATTTCTTTTGTTAGATGATCTGGCAAAGATAATTTCAAGTTCACTTTACATCCCTGGTTTTTCCCTGTTCTAGTATTTAGGGAATGAACCCTTTGACAAAAGCCATTCTACAGTCTCTACTCCGCAAGTCTTAAATAATATAGTAAATTTTAATTTTCCTCCAGCCCAACCTGCTAAAAGCACTCATGGGAGTTTGGAGCATGTCAGTGCCATTGCTGGACAGTGACGTTCCTTGTGTGTGCACAGCGTGATAAGGGGCAGCACACGTCTTACTGAATCCCACACAACCCTTCCCCTAGGGTGTTGATGTGACAAGGGAGCACACAGCTCATTGCTCACACCTTTCTATTCCTTGGGAGCTGGATGGGCCAAGAAACCTCCAGTTGTGTTTGTGATGTGAGTTTTCACTGAATGGAAGGGGCTTCCAGCTCTTGTTATGCTTTCAGTCAATGACTGAAAGAGCTGTGAGCTGGTGGTGGGTGATTGTCTTCCTGCTGCTACCCAATTGTTTGCCAGTCCATATACACTTAAAATTGAAGTTTCAGATACACGTTTCCTGGTCCCTTGTGACAACAAACACAATGTGATGCTGAGTATTAAAGCATCCAAATAAATGTAGCGATAGGGGAGTAATGGCTGGAAGAGGGTAGAGAGTAGATTTTGGTTAGACATTAGGAAGAAATTCTTAATTTGGAGACATTGGAACAGGTTTCCCAGGGAGGCTGTGAATGCCTAATCCTCAGAAGTGTTCAAGGTCAAGTTGGATGGGGCTTTGAGCAACCTGGTCTAGTTGTAGGTGTCCCTGTCCATGCAGGAGGGTTGGATCTAGATGATCTTTAAGGTCCGTTTCAACAAGAAATACTTGGTGATTTTATGATTCTATGTACCAATCCCATTGCTGTGGAAGGGGACTGAGATATTTTATGCAGAGGAAGTAACTGTTACTTTTAAGTGAGGCCAGTGGCAGTGCCTTTGTTCCAAGGTACACTATATTTCCAGTGCAGCGCACGGATTGTCTCAGTAGTGATACTGTGTTCTGTTAGCTTAAAGAGTCATGTGCTTATTACTGCTTAGTGTAGATGCATTGGTACTGTACCTTGAAATTGTCATGCCCACTTTAAGGACATTTATCAGGTTAACTAATATTTTCCATTTTATTAATCCAATATTTTAACCTTTTGATTATTTCATTTTCACTTCAAAATGCTGTTGGTTGAGATTGATTCACTAGAAGAGGTTACTCTTACCATTGATTGTGCCCTGCATTGTATCTGCTGGGCACTTTTTTAGCTCCATGCTGCATTACTACATTGATGGAGCACACAGCTCATTGCTCACACCTTTCTATTCCTTGGGAGCTGGATGGGCCAAGAAACCTCCAGTTGTGTTTGTGATGTGAGTTTTCACTGAATGGAAGGGGCTTCCAGCTCTTGTTATGCTTTCAGTCAATGACTGAAAGAGCTGTGAGCTGGTGGTGGGTGATTGTCTTCCTGCTGCTACCCAATTGTTTGCCAGTCCATATACACTTAAAATTGAAGTTTCAGATACACGTTTCCTGGTCCCTTGTGACAACAAACACAATGTGATGCTGAGTATTAAAGCATCCAAATAAATGTAGCGATAGGGGAGTAATGGCTGGAAGAGGGTAGAGAGTAGATTTTGGTTAGACATTAGGAAGAAATTCTTAATTTGGAGACATTGGAACAGGTTTCCCAGGGAGGCTGTGAATGCCTAATCCTCAGAAGTGTTCAAGGTCAAGTTGGATGGGGCTTTGAGCAACCTGGTCTAGTTGTAGGTGTCCCTGTCCATGCAGGAGGGTTGGATCTAGATGATCTTTAAGGTCCGTTTCAACAAGAAATACTTGGTGATTTTATGATTCTATGTACCAATCCCATTGCTGTGGAAGGGGACTGAGATATTTTATGCAGAGGAAGTAACTGTTACTTTTAAGTGAGGCCAGTGGCAGTGCCTTTGTTCCAAGGTACACTATATTTCCAGTGCAGCGCACGGATTGTCTCAGTAGTGATACTGTGTTCTGTTAGCTTAAAGAGTCATGTGCTTATTACTGCTTAGTGTAGATGCATTGGTACTGTACCTTGAAATTGTCATGCCCACTTTAAGGACATTTATCAGGTTAACTAATATTTTCCATTTTATTAATCCAATATTTTAACCTTTTGATTATTTCATTTTCACTTCAAAATGCTGTTGGTTGAGATTGATTCACTAGAAGAGGTTACTCTTACCATTGATTGTGCCCTGCATTGTATCTGCTGGGCACTTTTTTAGCTCCATGCTGCATTACTACATTGATTGATAGGACTCGGTTCCAAAGATGTTGTCTGAAGGGTCATATTCTGAATAGAAATAGAAATTTGAAGTGTATTTTGAGTTCGGACACTTATGTGACTATCTAAAAGTTCTTCAAGTTTTACTGTACTGCTTGGTAAGATTGACCATGCTCTGTGCAATCAGATCAAAAAATGTATTTGCTCTTAATTACTGTAAATGGTGTACTTTGACCTAGACAGGCTGGAGAGTTGGGGGCAAGTGTAGAGTTTTGCATCTGGGAAAGAACAACCCCATGGACCAGTACAGGCTGGGGGCTGACCTGCTGGACAACAGTGTAGGAGAAAGGGACCTGGGGGTCCTGGTGGACAGGAGGATGACCATGAGCCAATGGCATCCTGGGGTGCATTAGAAAGGATGTGGTTAGTAGGTCAAGACAGGTTCTCCTCTCCCTCTAATCTGCCTTGGTGAGGGCACATCTGGAATATTGTGTCCAGTTCTGGGCCCCTCAGTTCAAGAACAGGGAACTGCTTGAGAGAGTTCAGTGCAGAGCCACAAAAAGTAAGAAGGGAGTGGAACATTTCCCTTATGAGGAAAGGCTGAGGGAGCTGGGTCTCTTTAGCTTGGAGAAGAGGAGACTGAGGGGTGACCTCATCCATGTTTACAAATATGTAAAGGGTGAGTGTCAGGGAGATGGAGTTAGGCTTTTTTTTCAGTGATGACCAGTGATAGGACAAGGGGCAATGGATGCAAACTGGAGCATAGGAGGTTCCATGTGAATATCAGGAAGAACTTCTTTACTGTGAGAGTGACAGGGCACTGGAACAGGCTGCCCAGAGAGGTTGTGGAGTCTCCTTCTCTGGAGACATTCAAAACCCACCTGGATGCTTTCATGTGTGATGTGCTCTAGGTGACCCTGCTCTGGCAGAGGGGTTGGACCAGATGATCTTTCGAGGTCCCTTCCAACCCCTGAGATTCTGTGATTCTGTGATTCTATGACTTGGAAAATTATAAACTTGGAATTCCTCTTTGGGAGTTGACGTTGCAAACAATTCAACTTGCAAATCTGGAAATGTATACTTTTGCTTCTCAGTTTGCTTGCATGTGTGAGCAAGTACTCTGAAATTGCTTTAAGAATATCAGCTAATAAAATT